GGCCATGTATGCACGCAATGCACATGCACACACGTGCATGCTAAATTTACAGAATGTGTCAGGTAGCTGATGGCCATGGTTGAATTAAGGATAGTAGATCACTAAGAATCATCCCAGATTCCAATTATATTTATACATAATTTGTTCATTTGTAAAAACCTTACAAATAATTCTATTTTTCCAGGATGACATTATAGGTAACAATTTAACATGTGGGAAAAAAACATATTAAGCTCTTACAATCACAATTAGGGAAATTAAACAATCCGATCAGCTCATAGCTTTCATGAATAAAGAATTCTATGAATAAAAACTTTTCCATTTTCCATACTGGAAACAACAGCATGTCTTTTATTCACTCTAACATATAGTTTCTGGTAGAAAGTAATATACACATTTTAATGAGTAGTTTATATTAACATTTCTAAGGTATTGCTAAATGTAAAGATTTGTTTTTAAATTATGTAAACTGGACAGATTATTTGAATTGCTTCCTAATAACTAGATGGTTAATTACATTTTACTGAGCAATTTTACCAGGACATGATGGAAATTTAGCTGACAACGTTTTTGTATTGTGTTCTGAGAACACTGTGAGGAATCCAAATTTCACTTCCTTGGCAATGTAGTGAGGTCATATGATGCAAAAGAGAAAGTGGGGTAAAGTTTTAATGTTAATTAGAAATAAATCCTTGATAGCATTTTTAAAGGAATATTAATACTTTTTTCATGCTAATTTCACATTTCATTTAAAAAATGAAATGCTAAATAGTTCTAGGAACAGACCACAACATTTCAATGCCTGGGATAATCAAAACAAGTCCAGTTTATCCTGAGGATAGTAAAGCCACAAAGGGAGAAGAGACAAACTGTAATTCTATACATGAAAACATTTAGTCCTACTTTAAATTAATTTCCAGTATCTACAGATAATACTGTATTTCATTTTTAAGGATGTAGTCAGCAAAAATATTTACATTAAACTACTTACAGAAATTATTTTTCTTCTATTCAGGAAGACCGATTATATTAAATTAACATTAATGTAACATTAAGTTACATTAAGTTAAGGAAACTCAACAGAGGAAATTTTCCTTAGGAGACTATTCAACTGAGAATTTCTCTTTAGAATATAGTTTAGAAAAGTAATTAAAATGGTCTAAGGTGTTTTTCATCTGTAGGTCATTTCTTTCAAAAGTCTGATTTACAAGTTCCATAGGTAAAGCTGATGCTTTTGGTGAAATAAATGAAGAATGTCAATTCAATTTCTTGTAAACAAGTATCTACATTAAAAAAACTATAATCATATGGCAGTGAAGTAACCAAGGAATAAAAGATCATTTATGCTCTTACCTTCAGATGCAGTGCCTTCCTAAGAAGGTCTGAGGTGGACAAGCTAACATGGGTATTGTTAAAGCTGGGCACAGGAGATTCCATCTGCTTATGTCTTGTATTACTCTCTTTTCATCCCAAATCAATATTATCAGCTACTTTACCAATGAAATAAAAAACAGTCAAATGAAAGAATTACGTTTAATCATTACCGGTTGTGGTATAAAATAATGTAAGTCATAGTGGGAGTGTTTTGTGAGCAAACCTCCTATCACCACCCCCAATATATGCATGTGCACGTGCTCACACAAGTTGAGTATGCAAAACAGAAGTTTATTAATAGTGGGTCACCACTGTTTCTTAGACTTGTCTGGTATTTCTCAAATTACGCTTTGAAGACGCAGGGAGCCTCTTACACTGCTTACGACTGGGTACGACTGTTTTAAGCAAACACAGACTCCTGCTCCTCATTGCAAACAAGAAATTTACACCACCAGGAGAGGGTTTTTTTTTTTTTTAAAAGACCAATTTACCTTTTGGAGAATATGTGGCAACTCTCCCCCACCCCCATATTGACCTTCTCCCTCCCATACTATACACTCATGCACTACTTCTATCAATTAGTATTTTCAAGAATAGAGCATTGTGGTATATAAAACATAAAAATGAAGGCAAAACCAGTGTTAAAATACTATAATGCTTTCCAAAGTCAAGTAGCTATGATTTGTGGCATTGCTTCTAATTCACAGTGATAATCAAGAAATGGAAAGTGCAATTACTTCTCCTGGGAAAACTATATACTGTATGAGAAAGAAAAGTTTAGGGGCTGAGAAGGTAAAAATGTCTGTATCTTACTTCTCCTGGATGATGCAGGGATTGGGAGGGAGGTACGGAGGAAGACATGGAAGAAGCCAATCAAGACTTCACAGTATTAAGGACTGTGTAAAATTCTCTGCCGAGGGAGCAGTTTTGAATGCTTTGCTGCACATGCCCAGAATAATATGAAGAAAAGGTGTGGGTAGAGGTAGGGCTTCCTCATGTCCCAAGCTGAAATTTATTTTGTTTGCTGTTTTTTAAGCTACAGAAGGAATGCTAACTGAATGATCCTATGAAATGCAACAGAATTCAGCTATCTTAGAGCATCATAAAAAGTAGAAATGGAAGATTTCTTTATTCTATTTCTGGAAGGAAAAGGGTGTTTTGGGCACTTTGCATGGCTCAGGGAGCAGAATTGATTTGTTAATCTTTTGGGTAACAGAGAAATCTTATCCTCAGCTTCCTAGCTGCACAGTTCCTATACATCAGCAACTGAGTCCAACCTGGAGCAGTTGTAACAGAGCACTAGGATTCATCCGTCAAATGTGTGGGTATTACCAGGTCAATGGCACTTTATAGTCCTTTGTTCCCATGGGAAACTTTGTTATAAGACAGCTAGACTTTAGAAACAATTTGGCATATATTTTCAACTGTAGTGAGTCCAGCAGAATGCAAAGCAGAGTAATGAAAATTAATGTTTTCACTTGTTACACATTTTCACATTTCATATGTGTATTTTATGTATTCGGTGTGGGCAAGAATTGCTGATACTATTCCTGTGAGTTGAAATATGTAAAAATAACGCAGGAACAGGTAGTATATATCAAGACCAATATAAATGCATAGATAGAGATGGAAAACGCAAGAGAAAAGGATAAAGTTTAAATGATTCAAAACCTATAAAAATATTACTATGCAGATATACTATCCTCCACGTGGTGCACGAGAAAGTTATTTGACATTAAAATTCAATATTCTTATTTTATGGTTTTCTTAAATAGAACTTTCTCTTCAAAATAAATTTTCAACTATTTCTGGAATTTAAAAAAAATTTGAAATAGCCATTTATAATCTGGATTGCAAGAGAGAAGAAATAAATACTTATGATGAGTTGATTGCTATACATTGAAAAAATCGAATTTTACTTTTTTTTTTTTACCAAGTAGACTAGGAATAATGGGACCCATATTGCCATTTATACTCTAATATTACCCCTAAAATAATGGCAAGTAAAAGTGGGGTCATGATTGTTCATGATAATAAGAAACAATACCTTCTTAGAAGGCAAATAAAAGAAATTTAAGATCAATAGCAATGGAGTGAATAGACAAAAAACATTTGAAATTTCTAGCATCATAAGATTAAACTTAATAATCACAGGGTTGAAAGTGTTCACACAATGATCAGAAAAAAGTGAAAATTAAATTTATTTTTGGTAAATTCACATGTCTATCCAAAGTGTCATCTTCAGATTACCTTGGCTTGAGTTAAAGACCTTTTAATTTGACTTTTTCATGAAAGTTCTCTGCAGCTTGAAAGCTTGAATCTGTTCTCCAGTGTGCAGTCCTAGGTCCGCGCACACTGTAGGATGAATGGTGACTCATTTGGTTAGAGTTTAAATCTGGAGCATACATTTAATTCAGCTTCTTTTCCCCCCTTCAACAAACTGCAACAGTTCTGCCCAGCATCCCTGTCATGCACAGGCCAAATCTTTACTTTCAGAAGGGGTAGATCATTACAAATTTGAGAGAAATAAGTCATCTGGGACCAGGAACTAGCAAATATACGGCTAAATTTTCACTTTAGAGGCCATCAGCCTAAAGGAAGAAGGATTCCTCTTACCTGAGATTAAACAATGCTTTTTCAGATTCTATGGAGTTTGAGATATAGTTGATGTTTACCAGTGGCTATTTGTATCACAATTTTAACAAAGGACCACCAACTTGTCTTTTGGAGTGCAAAATTAAAATCTTCACACTTTTCTATGATGATTTAGGTGTTTGTACGTAAGATTAAACACAAAACCCCCAAAAGATCTGGAAAGTGCCATCGAACAACTTGTTTTAGTAAGGAAAGTGTTCTTTTTTCTTTAATTTTTAACATTGACACATTCTTTTCTGAACAATTACACAACGTAGATTTAGCCTGCTGAAGTCAATGGCCAGATGAATATAGTTACTATAAATGATTTCCCTCTAAATAAAAGTCCTAGATCCTGGGAACAGAGCAGGCGCTGTGCTGCCAATGAGAGGTATGCACAGATGGGGCTGTTACCAGTCAGTTCTGCGGCTAGTAAGCAAGCTACGTGGACAGAAAAGCAGCCCTTCAAAGCCCCTCCGGTCCAGGAAAAACTTCTTTTCCCCTTCTGCTCAAAGTCTCAGTCAGTGGAATGTATCTTCTTTGCAATGTCTATGTGGAAACGTTCACAAGAAGTCTGAGTAAAAATCAGATACCATTTTCCATTAGCATGTTATTAAAAATTTAGCTCTACTATTCCTGGTGAGAAGTGACAAATTCAAGCACTTCTGGGCTTTATCATGTTAAAGAGAAAATATGTTTCTAAAAATATGACGACCCCTGTCATTTTATTGCTATGGTCTAAGCAGTTGGGGCTAATTAATGATTTTCTGTATCATCAAAGACAAGTCAAGAATTCCATCTAAAGCAGTTATTGCAGAAATATACTGTGTTAGGCCCTCGTTGAAGTATTTTTCCTAAATAAAAAGTACAAAAATACTTCTCACTAAAGGTAACTGAGAAGTTGTTTGATTTGACATAGGATGAGGGCACACTTTTTTTTTTTTTGAGACAGTACACTTTATGATTCACAGGAGAACTTGCATCAGACGCAATTTAATGAAAGCTCTCAAATAAGCAATTTTATTCCTATCCATGATTGCAGACATTTACAAAACCATAACATCTGAGTTCACCTTAAAAAATAACTTATATAAAGCAGTGATATACACAGCACAAAATAGTTCAGGGAGGGGCAGGAGCAACTTTTAATAATTAAAATGTAAACGTGAAAAAAAGGATGGAATAAAAGTCCCTACTTATTTCTACTTAAGATGTCATGTAATAATATTTTACAATGTCCTGTGGGTAAATGTATGTATGTGCATATGTCCATATAACATACACATATACGATACATTCTCTTTCCCACACATATACATACACAGATAATTATTTGCAGTTCAGTTTAGGGCAATTCTAATATGCCACTCTGTACAGTTGTTTGAATCACGTTTTGGACCCGCTTTCTTCAAAAAATAGGGGAGAGAGCAGGAAATAAAAAGGTTGGTTTGGTGTGACTGAGATTCCTTTGTTTAACTGTACACTGTGATGAATAATTTTCTTCCGTAGTAGTTCTGTGAAGGGCTGACTCACTGTGGTTTTCATGAGGAGACTTGGTAATGGATCACACACTCATTGTCATGCTAGGGGAGTACTAGAAAGAAAAAAGAATCCATATTTTAACAACAATTCTTTTACAGGCCACTAATGTTCTTCTCAGTAAACAGTAGTAACTATGAATTTTAATGTCTTAAAATCTTTTATGTTCAAGATTTTTACCCTCATGTAACATAAAAATAAGAAGCTATAAGAAGAGTAAATTTATATAGAATTGACTAAGTCCTGAAATTTTTAATATTTCCTCTGGAAAGCGACCAGTCCCATCTCCCTGCACTTAGGTGGTTGATAATTACCCAGTCCCTCAGTCTTTTCCCTCTAGCCAGATTCATGTTTTATGGGCATTTGTAACATTTTGGGTAAATCCAATCTACAATGAAACAAGCATGAGGGACAGTCTCATTACCTACTGGCTATGTAAACTTGGAAGGTTACCTAACCTCTCTGCGTTTCAGTTTACTCACCTGTAAAATGGGTTTAATAATAGCCTTTATCTTAAAGGGACTTGGGGAAGATTAAATATAAAATCCTTAAAACCATGTATTTCTTGAATATACAGAAAGTGTTCAGCAAGTGTTTAATTAATAGTGTGAGGGAAATAAAACAAAATAAAAAACATAAAGCATTTAGAATGCTTAAGAATCTGATTATACTTTAGGATACACTTGTCTTCCGGCTCCAATTTCAATACACAATATTTTTAGGGTGGGAACAGGGGGTGCTGTTGTTACACATTACTTGTCAGTTTGATGAGGCTAACAACTGGTAAAAGGTGAGGCGTTCAGAATTTGGAAAAGGGGTCTCAAAAATTATTAAGAGGAACAAAAAGCAATTTTTGTGATAATTATTCCCGAAGAATAGATTGTGACAGAAAAGTTCTAGAGCAACACTGTCTGAACGAACTTTTTCAATCATGGACAGGTTCTATAATCTGTGCTGTTCAACATGGAAGCCACTAGCCACATGTGGCCACTGAACACACGAAATGGGCTAGTGTGACTGAGGAACTGTAATTTTAATGTTATTTATTTAAATTTAAATATCCCCATACAGCTGGTGGGCACCATTTTGGACAGCACAGTTCTAGACTGTCTGAGAAGTGTGGAGGGGTATCCACTCCCAAATGGTAACGGTCTCCTGATGAAGAGGGTTTCTAGGTGAAAATGTAAATGTAAACCTTTAAATATTTTAAATATTTTGTTAAAAATATTTGGTGAGGTCCTGGTGAGGACCAGGGCAAAAGGGGATTCCTTTAAACATGTTAATAATAGGGGCACCTGGGTGGCTCAGTTTGTTGACTGTTGGACTAGTGATTTCAGCTCAAGTTGTAATCTCTTGGATTGTGGGGTCCAGCCCTAGTCGCTGGGCTCCTCGCTCAGTGGGCAGTCTGCTTGTCTCTCTCCCTCTGCCCCTCTCCCCGACTCTTTCTCTAAAATAAATAAATCTTTAAAAAAATGTTAATAATGATTATGCCTCATGGAAAGAGGCAGGTGAATTCAAGAGGCCTGGTCTCAGACAGCAGGGCCTTCAACAGGAGAAGTGATGATCCTGGGAAGTGGAGCGTGAACTTTAAAAAGAGAGCAGGCAGAACAGAATGAAGTGAGTTCTAGATGAGCTGAGTTACTACTACAGGAACCAGAAAGGAGGTATAAGGTGTATACTGAGCATTTTACAGGGATAGCAAGATGCCCTGAGGAAGAGCATAGGGTGACAACCGCTCAGCTGACAGAAGTGTGGACAGAAAGTTGCTAGGGGTAAATCTAGGGCTCAAACCCAAACCCCACATTGATCCTAAGTAAAAGTGGATGGGGAGGCCTGAAAAATGGGTCAGTGGACCCTTGGGGGATGATTATTAATCCTTTAAATGCAGGTCAAATCACAGAAAATCTACTTGTTAATCACTTAATAGCCTCAAATTTCCTTTCAGTATAGGGAAGCTACATTATACATGTTACTGACTCTAATGTTGGATTACAGTGAGTAGGGTGATAAAAAGGGGAGACTTCCAGAGGGGAGAAGGAGATTCGGTTTGATGGAAAAACCTTTCCGCCTTTACCCTTCAGAGTGGCAGCAAGAAAGCAGAGCAGAGCAAAGCAAAACCTAAAACCCAAAGCAATCAGACAAAAACTGATGAAATGAGCCCCCACCCCACCCCCCGTGCCAGGAGGATAGCCCCTCATTTCATCAGATGATACCATGCAAATCTCCCATTATAGATAGTAACAGCAAGCTACAGCCTTTGACTAAACAGAATTATATTTTGATATTTGACCTTTAGGGGTAAGAATAAACAAAAAGAAAATACATGGATACAAAGGTTTTATTAAAAGTAGAAAAAAAAATTAAAGAATATGGCAAAGTGGGCAAAGAAAAGTTTAATCTAGGATTTCTATAGCTACTGTTACTTAAATAAGAATGGTGATCCAATCAGTTGTTCAATAGAACTTTGTGTGATGATGGATATGTTCTATTCTGTGCTGTCCAACAGAACAGTCATTAGCCACACATGGCTACTGGACTCTTAAAATGTAGCTAGTGTAAGTTAGGAACTGAAAATTTAGCTGTATTTAATTTTAATTAGTTTAAATTTAAATAGCAGAGCTAGATCATCAATCATCGTTTTAAGAAAAAGATTTTATGGGTATATGGGGCCAATTATCTAAAAAGAGTAAAAGATACTGATGCATTTCAGAAAGGACTTCAAAGGAAGTTTCTGGAAAAAAAAATTTCAGGATAAGTCAGAATTAACTCTAGTGACCATCTCACTTAATACACACCCTGAATAACTGAGATTTTAAAAAGTAAGGGCCAGATTCAGTCAGAAAGGATAGAAGCATCTGCTCCAAGGAATACAGCTCAGAAAAATTAGCAAGCATCTAATATAATTGAATTTTTGAAAGTATAAGTAACTGTAAGGTGATGCTCTAAGTGTATTAGGTACAGTATATGTGTAATGTATAAACCTCTGTATGTGTGTAATGTGTGTGTGTAATGTGTGAGCATCTATGTGTGTAATGTGTGTGTGTAATGTGTGAGCATCTATATGTGTGCAATGTGTGTGTGTGATGTGAGCATCTATATGTGTGTGTAATGTGTGAGCATCTATGTGTGTAATGTGTGAGCATCTATGTGTGTGCAATGTGTGTGTGTAATGTGAGCATCTGTGTG